CAGGCAGGACCGCACTCCAGAGGGACAGTACACCTACGTGCTGGAGCCGTGAGTACACGCACACGTACGCACACTTGGCTGGACTCCACTGTACACTGGACTCATGCAGAGCTGATGTGTGTTTGAGGGGTGTTGAAGGTCACTGCTCTTGTCCACACTGTGGTTCTCTGCATGGAGGCTTAAGAGATTAATCCCCTTAACACCTGGTGGGCGTGTGTGTGTGTGATGGTCGTGGTTGAAGCAGGGTAGCAAGCAGTAAAGCCTCACCGTTGGATGCAGGTGAATGGAGGAGAGGATGGAAGGAGGGGCGGGTTTAAGTTAGATAGGTTAGTAGGCAGTAAGTGACAAGGTGGCCTTTTGAAAGGTCGAGGAATGAAAGGATAAAAGAAGAAAAAGAGCATTTTTAACTTGAGAGACTTTTACTTAATGTTCACCCTCATTTTTGTGATTCTGAGGATGCCGGCGCCTGCTGCAGTTAGAATGGGATAACCAGCTTGTTACCTCAGCCATGCCGGCCCGTGTGGAGGAGCAGCGGGACGCCCAGGACGGCTCCTTTCTACAGGCTCGATGTGACGAAGTGCTGGTCACCAACGACTGGGGCCTGCCTCTAGTGCTGGCTCTGCTGCTGCTGCTGCTGATCTACACCTTTCTGTACCTGCCCTCTCAAGCGCACCACAACTCCACTCTCTGATATCTCACGCATAAAAGGCACAGAGTGCAGCCGTGGATCTAAACATTTAACATCACAAACAGCGGATGCGCTCAGGCAGGACAAGATTATTTGATTGGACTGCTCTCTTTTTGGCCGCAGTTGGTGATTGGTCATGTCGGACGCTGTGAGCAGGAGGAGATGTGCAGGGAAGAAGAGTGGGAAAGATGAGGAGAGGTCATTTAAAATAAACCCTAGAACTGATGTCTGCTTTCATGCAGAAGACTGTGTGTCCTTATAAATCCCTAATATGTCCTAATACGGTTAAAAATGAATTTAAAAGTAACCTGTGGCTAGATTTTAGTAATATGAAGTTTAACCAGTGTTGTTCATTTTTATTGTTCGTTACAGAACTGCTGTTGAATTGTGTGGATTCAGATGTTAAAGATGATATCTGCACATGTAGATGCTAATGATAACACGGTTGACATAACGCTATTCCACAATAAATAGCCGACTGAACCGTGTGACTGCTTTTATTGTATTTATTGGTCCACAGGGCTGTGAGTGAGAGTGTGTGGATTGAGTTGGAGATCAGCAGTAAGAGGATTAAAGTTTTAGAGAATGAGAGATTCTGGGTTTTATTCTGGGGGGGAAAAACCAAAACAACAACCACGGCACCAGAAGTGGAAGCTTTTTGTTATTGTTCGTCATCTAACAGGGTTCAGCCGAGTGTCAGTTGCATCACAAGTGCATTTGTGTTTACTGCGTGTAAACAACGAGCGTCTCGTTTGTTTGTGTTTACTGCGGGTTTCCAGGCGCGTCGAGGAGGTGGTGAGGTTTCCAGGCCTGCCTCCGCGCCGCCAGCTGACGTACCAGGCCAAACAAACCATCAGCAGAGAGATGGAGCAGGAGAAGATGAGGAGGGCCGAGCAACTGATGCTGCTGCGAAACCCAGCACCGGTGAGACTCGGGCACGCGTAGCACCTGGCCCCGCGCGTGCTAATTAACGTGACGTGTTTGTAATGCGCCGTGTCTGTGTGACGCAGAAAGCGGAGGACAAAAAGAGCGCCGGTCCTAAAGCAAGCAGGAACCACCAGCAGAGGCTGGAGAACATCGTCAAGCAGACCACAGTGGAGAGCAGGGTGAGGCGCACAAACACTTTGACACGCTGTTAGCTGCTGGAAAATCACTGCTGCTCTGGACCAACACTGCCTGATAATATGGTCTGATTTGTAGTTGTTATTTTTGGCCTGAACACAGAAAAAACACTTATTTTTTTTCTTTTATTTAAATAATTTATTTGTTATTTTTTAACTTGAAAGTGCCCCCTCTTAACCTTTGATACAGTTCATGGGGGGTGGGAGTGTATACCAGCTGACACCGGGGGGGAGGGGAAGCACTACCGTAGGAGAAAGCTTTATAAACCACATACAGGCTTCGTTTATTTGTTCAAAACTGATCTTAAATTTTCTCTAATTTCTGATTGGTCCACATTAGCTGCACAACATGTTTGCCTATTGTTTTGGTGATGTTGTCATAAAAAAAAATCTGAAATAATCTGCTGGGTTTATTCTTTAATTCCTCAGATTATCATTTGGCACACTTTCATGGTGAAACGTTGTCTATTAGGAAGAACAACGTATTTCTGGCTGAAACCAAACGCAATATATTGGCACAAATACTTCACACCAGCTGTTAAGCACGGTGGTGGAGGGGTGATGGTTTGGGGCGGTTTTACAACCACAGGAAATGGTCACCTTGTAGTCACTGAGTCATGCAAACTCCTCTGAATGCCTTCAACCTCAATATTGCTGCTAAAGTTACTGAGTCATGAGGTGTGCTTAGTTTTTCGCAGCACTGCACAAAAGAAAAAAAAACACAGAGCTCAAGTTTCCACTGCCGGTAACATGTTTACTGTTATAGACTCTACTGTGTGTTCAGGGTGTGGTCACTGTGCTCCTCACACATGTGGGTGTTAGTTGGTGCCTGCTGGTGGAGCCAGAGTGGAGCAGCCAGTCTGCACTGAGCCTAGATGAGTTATAATAGTTCCCTCTAGAGGGCAGGAATGAGGCTAATAAGAAGCCACTGGGTCACAGTCCCCGATGGAGACAACTGGGAAATTAGGCTAATGAGAGAGAGAGTGTGTGTGTGATTGTTCACTGATATTGACCTCGTTATTGAGGACAAAGCGTTTGAAACTTCCTGTTTAACTTCATCCTTCTCATCACTTTGTTGTTGTGTTTGCGTCCTGCAGCCTGAGGTGGATTTCTTTGGTCGAGCTGTTGCCCCTAAACCCCAGAGACCACAGCCGTCATCAGACACAGGTACCTGACTTCATTTATCTCAAATGTGGAAAACACAGGCTGCTCTGATTTTTATTTATACTTAATGCCTCGAAGCACATCAGGTCCACACGCACCAGAGGTAACAACTAATGTGTGTTATGTAACTTTGGTAATTAAGCGTTTTTGTTGCAGTCTGCAGGCAGAGCTGCTGGACTGCCAGCACTGTTACCACTTGCATTTATTATCAGATCTCTGTTAGCCAAACAAACTACTTTGCACAGCGTGATCCTTATATTTATGCATCAGCCAATAGAACAAACATACTTAATATTTATTTCCTAAAATGTACATTAATAATAGTGTCCAGTATTCCTCAAAATCAGTTTACTACATTTTCCTGAGATGTAGCAGTTGTAGTCCTTGGATGCTACTAAAACTCTTCAAGGTCATTTCTGAGCCTGCTGGTGCTTTTGAGTCAGTGGAGGCAACTGTGACTGCTGTTTGAATACATTAAATCTCCACCCCTCCTGCAGTTCTGGAAAGGTGCATCATCGTTAGCTCAGGACCCGTAACATGTCTCTGTGCATGTCTTATTTACCGTATGACCAAAAAGTCCCATTAAAAGCACTAACCCTCCTGAAACCACACCATCAGGGGCATTGATGAGCAGTGTAATCAGGGTGGAAACGCAGACCTGTGGTCATTTGTAGGTCAAAGCAGGATTTATTTACTAAAACAGGCACAGCTCCACATCTTCTGTAATGCTTCCCAGACTTTTATTTTGATTGGATCGGTTTGTGGAGAGGACTGAGAAGCACTAATTTGGATCTGGTGGCGTCAGCGGTATGCATCAGTACTTTAGATGGGTGCATAGTTGAATTATGCAATAATGTGACAACAGTGTGAGAGTGAAAGGATGGTATGGATTAAATGATTATCAGTCTGCAGCTTTCATCGTCTTTACAGAGCTTTGTGTTGAGCCACAGATACACAGATATTTACGCCGATGGATCAGATTTTTATTGTACTTGCGGCTTCAGCTTCACTGCTCTCATAGTGTCGTTTTTACACTGCAGCAGGCGGCTGTTTTCACTGGAAGACACCACTGTTAGCAAGTAGTTAGCATTTAGCTCCTCAGGAGAAGGAGACCAAAAGTAGAGCTAACAGAACAAGTTAAAAATAAACTGTAAATAAACAGTGTTGCTGCCTAACTGCAAATTTTCCACTGGAAGTTGAAGGCTGATGATGTTCATAACTTATTTCCACCTCCTCAAGTCCTCCATCCAAAAAAAAAAAGAAAAAAAAAAAGAATTCACCCTTAGTGTGAAACTGGAGCTAAACTAGTTACACAGATCAGCATCAGCTCTGTTGTGGGATTTATTGATGTAAAAGTCATTGGTTTGAGCTGAAATGACAGAAAACTCTTTGGTTTAAGAAACTTGGACTGGAAAATTTATATTAATTGAAGTATGAACTTTTTAATTCATTGTGAAAAAAGCCACCAGCTTAATCAAATATGAAAATACTTGGACCTGAATGAGTGCACTCAAAGCCTGTTTGTGTCTCCGCAGGTGAGAAGAGAGCAGATCTATCTATGGGGACAGCAGTGGGCAACAGTGACGTGTGGTTCCGGTTTAATGAGGGCATGTCCAACGCTGTCAGACGAAATGTTTACATCAGAGATCTGCTGTAGCGCACGCGCACACACACACACACACACGCACACACACACGCTACTGTCTCATTCTCAGCTGCACTTGTTGTTGTATCATATGAAAGAATCTTAATCAATGCGTGTTAAATTCAAAACAGTCTTTATTTGGATTGACAGTGTAAAGAGCCAATAAAAAGGTGCTGTTCATCAAAACAAACCTCTAGAAAGCTACTCGGTGCTGCACACTCACACATACGCTCGTCTCCACAGAAAGCATTCAGAGAAAAGCGGTGATAGCACTGATCGTGTGTGTGAGCGAGCATGTGAGTTAGTGCAGTGCGTCATCCTTCAGTTTGTATGCATCCGTGATTGTGTGTGTGTGTGTGTGTGTGTGTGTGTGTGCGCGTATATATTTATATATATATATGAGTGTGTATGTGTGTGTGTGTGTGTGTGACCGCTAGAGAATCACACACTTGCCCTTCTCCACCCAGGGATTGGCTCTCATGAGCTCCGGATTCAAAAATGGATCTTCACAAACACATCCCTCGATCCATTTCACCAGCCTACAAAAAAAGATAAAAGAAAGAGAGAGTCGTATGGTCAGCAACGGGTCACACGCTGTACTGAACAGAGAGGGAACGAGTGTGTGTGTGTGCAGCAGGTGGACTCACTCAGTGACAGTGATGGAAGATTTCTCTCTGTTGATTGCCAGCTGATACTGAAGGCTTTCCACTTCGCGCTTCATCTGTGGGATGTCCCATTCCTCCATGATGCTACTGTTGTGTATACACACAAACACACACACACGCAGATCAGAGACTGAAAGAGCACAGCTCTACTACACAGATGATTAAAGCTTGTTTTTGTTTTGCAACTGCGCCAATTTTAGAGTGCTAAAAGAAGTAAAAGCAGCCGACTGATCCTGCTCCAGCTCCTTTTTGAAGCGGGAGTATTTTTGTTGTCGCTTCAGCACACCTCGCGTAACTTCTGCTCTGAGTCATAATTCACTGCGTGGATAAGCTCTGCACAGAGAACCAGTGTTTGGTTATTTTCTAATTTTTCAAAATAAAACTCACGTTTAAAAAAAACTAATAAACAGACAACTTTTTGCAAACATTACTCTAACAGGTGTAAATTGCGCTGGTGTTGTGGACTACTTTCAGCTGTGGATGAATACGATTTTACTGGCTGTTGACCTCTGACTCCAGAAGGATGGTTTGTGTGGGATTAGGCATACAGCAGTGTCCATGTACATAATGGAGAAGCAGGTTTCAGAGAGACTGCGCAGTAAAATGATCAGAAGTAAAACAAGTAAAAGGGCTTGACTTAATTAATGAGGTGGGAGGATTGATCCAAATATTGACAGTATCGATACCAACACTGATACTGGCATCAGATTGATACTGCCGCAACAGGATTTGATATTTTGTTTCTATTCTCTCTCTCTCTTTTTAAAAAAAAGAAAATATATGCTTCAAACATGCGCTATGAAAAATGTCTCAACCTTTGTGTTGACTGTCGCATCTATTTTATTTATAGCCTAGAGCAAATTTCAGCAACGGGCACGTTTACATTCCAGGTCTTCAAAATACATAAAAAGCTTAGTTGTGTTATTGTTGTGTTAACGTGTTATTGTGGAAAGTTCAAAATCAGTGATTTGGTGATCATTAAAACGTGTGGAGAATTTGGCAAATCTATGATTCAACTCTTACATTATGCCACACTGCTCTGCCCTACACGAGCTGCCTTTATTGGTTAAAAGTATCGGTAATGGTATCGGCAATACTGGCCCTGTATTTACTTGGTATTGGATCGTACCAAAATTTGCAGTATGGGACAGCGCTAGTGGGAAAATATGACGCCACATTAAAATTGTGCTTTCCTCATTTTGTTAGGTTTATCCATTGTATTTGAATCCTGTTGACATGTAAAATGTTTATACTAGAGCAAGAATAAACTGATTGGTTTAGTGGAGACGGAAAGCACAAAGAAAAACAGTCACAGAGCGAATTTCTTAAAAGAAGAGCAGGTCATGAACTGTTTTCCATTTTTCTCTCTCTTGTTCCCAGAAAAAGGATCGAGTTACACCATTTAAATGTAAATAATCAGGGTAAAACGCGTTTTGTCTCTTTCTTAAGACACCTGAGGATATTTTAATATATTTAATGTTAGAAAACAGGTCTCGTGTTCTTATCTTATTTGTATTACTTGTGCCCTGCCCCACCCTGCCCCAGGCCACATTACAGCAGCAAGACACAGCCAGAGAGTTCAATCATGGATCGGTTAAGCCCTCTCTACTGGAAGCTGTCTCCCTCCTCCTGCTCTTCATCTTTTTAATGGATCTAAGTAGGTCGGCTGCCGGTGCCGGTTTCCTCCACCAGCATCCATCCTGCTGCGCTTCTCCACCAGCCAACCGGTCCATGAAAAGGCCTTCATCATTTAATTACAGGCAATGCTACAGCCCCATCACGGTCTTCCTCCCATTTTACAGCAGCTTCTGTCCTCCCTCTCATAAAGGAAGGACATAAATGTACCTCGTCGTGAACGTGTGGTGACAGCGAGTGAATGACAAAGCCGCTCTTACCGTCAGGCCTACCGGGGAGAGGACCGCTGTTCGAGTGCGTGCGCTGCCGGGTGCAGACCGGGCTTCAGCGGCGGCGAGGACCGTTCAGGGCCGGGAGTCGGTGGCGTTTTACCGGTAGATGAGTACGGAGTCGGTGGGGGGAGGAGGCTGTGTGAGTATATGCGTGTGTGTGTGTCGGCTCTCCGCGGCGTAAAGGCACTCCTCTGCGCTCCTCCCCGGTAAAGCTGGATGCTTGCGGGGGCGGAGAGAAAAAAAAGCACCAGCGCCTGCTTTGACAGTCAAACGAGAGCCGGAGCAGACGCACCTGTATGGAAATCCGAGCACGCAATGAGCCTCAGCGCAGGCAGGGAAAACGCAAATGAGTCGCTCCGAAGGGAAAACACGCAGGGAGGTCATTTTCTATTCATGTGACCGGAGGCTATGTCTGTTTCTCCTCCGAGGCCCCCACAGAAAGTACCAGAACAGTACTTTGATTTTTTTCTTTACTCAGCTCTGGTACAACCATCAAAAACACCTGACCTCTAATCTAAACACGTTCTCCTTCTCTCTAATGCTGCCATTGTTTTGACCACTAAACTTATTTTAACCTTCATCATGCAGATGGGTGCTTCATCTTTTCCCAGGACACTGACATCTGCATGGATTGAACAGCAGATTCTTAATTAGTCACCCTGCTGTACCTCCCAGTGCACAGCTGTGCTTTTAAATATCCAAAGACTGTCTAGTTAGACTACACTGCAGCTGTACCCACTTTGTTCTTTACTCTTACGGTGGTGCACCTGTGGTATCAGTTTCTAAATCCTGCACCACCTAATAAAGTTTCATCTTATCTCTTATCTCATTCTTGAATTCACAAACTCCACCCATGGTGGATGATTTTGGCATAAATCTTCATTTTTGGCTTTAGTCAGGCATCAGAATTTCAATAGAATGACACCACCACACAGACCATTCAGAAAACGAGAGTTTAACTTTTATTTGGCAAATTTGAAAAAGTATTTTTAAATAACTTCATAAAACAACATCCTCCTGTCCCATAAAATCATCTTTGCTGGGTTTGTCCTGTGAGCAGCTTCCCCATCTGGTGACGACATCTGAATACGACACCTGAAAGACACAAATACACATTCATGTGAGTGACAGAAGGAGAAAAGCAAAACAAGCCATGAGCTGGAAGTTCACATACACGAGGTGTTGAGTTTTTCTCGTCACTGGCTCTCCCACATGCATCGCATATAAACAGACTTACCGTAAAGAAACTAGATCACCATCTGCCATCCTGAGTCGGGCTGTAAACAAGAGGAGCAGCTCAGTTATTATTCACATAAAGACATTCGTAGCATCACATGGTATTACAGGATTGCTCCAGAAGCCTCAGAGAAAAGCTGGAATCAGGAGCTGAAGCTCAGCTCTCATAGTAGGTGTCAGAAAAGATTGTTTAGTTTGTCATCACAGGCTGAAAATGTTCGAGTACCAGCATCTTATACAGACTCACCTGATCTCAGACCAGCATGAAAGCCCATTTCTCAGGACCATGTGGCAAAATACAGCCTACTTCCAGTCACCTTCCTCTCACCTGGAAAACACAGTAGTTGTTTTTAAAGATGAAGGCAACGTGACAATTCATCATAAAAACATTTATCATAAATAACTGAGCCTCAGAGAAAAGCTAGAATCAGGAGCTGGAGTTCAGCTCTCATAGTAGGTGTCAGAAAAGTTTATTTAGTTTGTCGTCACAGGCTGGAACCGGTTCGTTTGTTAAGAGAAGAAGAAAGAAGAAAAAAGGCTCACCGGCTGTTTTCTTCTTGCTCTGCTTTCATCTCCAGGTGATCACATTGTTCTCCGACTGCATTCAGCCAGCCTTCAGTCTGCTAAACAGCCCTGTGCATTCTCCAGCCTCTGCACTGTCATCCAATCCCACCGTGAAGGCTGAAAAACAAGACACAAACACAATGATCTTAATCATGAGCAGAAGGCACTTCATGCGCTTTGGAAATTGATTACTGGAGCCTCAAATGACTTGCAAATCTTGCTTTGTTGTAGTAAAACAGGCTGAAAGGCACATTTGTAAAGGTCGCACGGCAGAAGGAGCTTTTTATTTTAACAGAGACAAATCCAAACGCCCCCCCAAAACCCTTCAACCAACCGCTACGAGTGTGTACAACCGAGACGATGTGTGTAGTAATTCAGAAACTGCGTCATGAGTTTGTCCAGCAGTGTTGCTCAGACTTTGAGGGTACTCACTGTCTGCAACATGTAGCATAAACTGTATATAAAAGGACACAGTCAGTGACACTTTGACTTTATGACACCTCAAGCAAAAGATTTCTGGCATTACCATCATTATTATTATTATTATTAATAATAATAAATTTTTAAACCAGACACTCCCAAATTTCCCCTTGTGGGACAATTAAAGGATTATTCTATTCTTATTCTTTGTAAATAGCACATTGACTGTGAGACTCACAGGCCCATTATACTCGCCCTCATTTGCTAAAGTGTCGTCACATGCCACACTTTGGCATTGTGTCAGCTGGTTGGCACATCTCAATTTTTTTTAAGCCTCACATCAGAGCTACCGCCACTGTGTTGAAAATCTGAGTGTATGATCGTGTCACTGTTAATAATGAAATAAAACCCTTCTCTGCTTCCAGTGTTGATGTCTACACCCACGGTGTAGCAGTGGCAACATTGCAGTGTGTACTCATACCCTTGGTGTTGGTGTAAATGCTACAGAGCTGTGGCGACATCACCATTTGAGCACCACATAAACAATGCAGCAAGTATAAAGGGGCCTACGCAGGTCCACTGTAAAGCATATCCTGCTTCATCAGGTTTATTAGCAATGAAACAAACTCTTCAGGAAAATGTTTGCTTCTTTCCTCTGACCTCAGTAATGTCATTTTTGCATAGATGTCTAGAAAGCCGTTTACCCCCTGCTGACAATTAGGCAAAAGTGCAGCTCTAAGGCATTTAATAACGTTCAGGCGCCAATGTTATGTCCATCTTTTATATACAGTCTATGACATGTATCAGGCTGAGCATTCATAATCAGAAAAAATGCATTAATTAAATGTTTAATGAGTGAATCAGGGAATCTTTTACTTTGCGCAGAATTGCTTAAAATATCTGTTGCAGAATTGAGCAACAACTGGTTCCACAAAGACGTGAAAACCGTGACCCTTAAAGTAATTTTAAAGAATAGCTAAATGGGTCCTACATTTAACTAAAGTGTTGCTTAATCCAGTGAATGCACTTTAAAAATCGGAGCACAAGTTCTACTTTATCGCCACATGGTTGCACGTGCTTGCGATGTAAGTCGCTGTGCACTTCCTCCACGTGCAGACCCAGTACTCACCTCGTTCACTCTTAACCGCCGTCCTTTGAAGTATTTAGCGAAGCAGACCAGATCGTTTCGGCCTTTTTTGCTTCCATGTTGTGTGTTTATAGTATAAAGTCTTCAAAGGTCCATCGTCTGCTCGGGCTGAGAAGGAAAAGACCTGCATGCCCGCCTGAAGTCCCTCACATACCCTCTCAGGGTTAAAGCCCCTCCCCCGTGTCCTATCATTTCCGGGCTAACTGTTAGCTGCAGAGCTAGCTTAATTGTTTCTGCTGGGGGGTCCGTTTTTTTTGTCCCTGTTTTTGTTTACTGGGTCTTCATTGATATACGAGTTATTGTAAACTGTAATTAGAAACAAAGTTAACGCTGTCGGCATATTTCAGATGCGCAAGGTCCAAGGCATCATGGGACTTGTAGTTCATCGTGGTCAATGAACCCTTTCAAGCCTGAACCATTATAACTGCCATAAAATCCTTTGCTGACTTTCTGTCTTTTTTTAAAATTGAGTGTTTATTGAAACTTCTGACTTTTTATAATCATTTGCTACATCTGGCATTTTTCTTTTTTTGGTAATTTATTAGGAATTTCAGGCAGGAAATTAAGAAAATTCAAGTATCACTAGTTAATAGTTTGTAAAAAAAAAAAAAAATCTCTCTCTCTCTCTCTCTCTCTATATATATATATATAGACCTTTAACTCCCAGCAGGCATGATGACATAACAGGACAATGTGGATAAACTCAAAAAGTGCAACCACAGATAAACCCAGCCTGCATGTCAGCATCCTTTAATCAGTTGGGCCCCTGTACCTGTGTGCACATATCACATGTAGAAAGCCATGTTAACAACAAACACCTGTCTGAAAGTGTAAAATCTCACTGAGAATAATACTATTAATCATGTACTGGACTTTTCATTGGGTGAACAAAAGGTGTGGCTCCTCCTATGGTGCAGTGAAAAAATCAGTGCTGCACAGGAATGTGCCTGGAATTTGTTTTTACACGATTTGAAGGTTATAAAAACTGGCCTGTCACCTTATTTGTAGTTTTACCTGTCAACAGCAATATCTGCAATATACCATATGCAATTGTAGTTAACTGGCATAGCTAGATCTGCAGAATATAGAAACAATGTAGTAATAAGACTGGATATATAATATATATATCCATTATATATAATATAATGTTGACTGCAGACTCACTTTGTTAGGTGCACCTGTTTAACTGCTTATTAATGCTGATATCTAATCAATCACAGTGCAGCAACTCAGTGCATTAGGCATTTAGACATGGTTAAGATGACCTGCTGAAGTTCAAACTGAGCATTGGAACAGAGAAAAAAGCTGATTAAAGTGACATGGCTGTTAGTGCCAGACAGACAGCAGATATTTCAGTAACTGCT